TTAAACATATTTTAAATTTGAAGTTTTTAAACAAATACTTCATAGGCGACAGCGGACTGTTTAACACATTTTTACATTTTTAACATAAATATTTAATCAACTAAATAGTAAATACATTTATAAAATATATTTGTCTCAGTCGAATACTCATCAGGCTGAGGTGAAATTTGGTACAAAGATAGATTAGACCTCGGGGAAGAACATAGGCTACATTTTGTAGTGGACAATGTAAATAAGAGGTCCAATCCAGTTCTTAAACGGGGATTTTGATATTTACAATGGAAATTTTTGTTTATAAATGGTTGCTATTGGTTAATGTGATAGGCCTGTGTATTTTAGTACAGAATGATCGAGTTTGAACCACAGTTTCGGCGGAACAATTTTTTTAATTGTTTGAATTTTTAGAGTTTATTTATACACCACGCGTTTTCCGCGATTTACCGCAGGTGGTTGCCTATCAGATAATATACTGCTCGCATAATCACAAGCGAATCTCACGGACAACGCATGTGGGTATGGCTATATATTAAAATATTTTATAATTTACATTTAAAAATACATTAATTCCACAGCGGGTTTACACCAAAAAGGAGTTGAAAAAATCACAATACCCTTACAATAGCAAAGCATGGCCGGTTCTTACACCTTGTATTATGTTAATTAGTATTTTATCTATAAATTAACCTATATCCTGTATTCACTTCTGTCCTGTTTACTGCACACACACATTCTATTTTTAATTAGGATCGTGATGTTATTTTCTGTAAATATAGTATTATATTTTTTAATTTAGCCTAATAAGTATTTTCTATATAAATGTAAAATTGAATAACAGCTATTATATATATGAGGCAAAGTATATGGTTGAGGTTTCTACTCGAACGAATTTCACAAAAAATATTGATGATATTTCTACTGAAGCTAAACGAAAACGATAGGTTGGTCGATTATAATAGATAATAATAGATAATAGCAGGCTGATACAGATCTAAATAACGCATATTATGCTTATGCAGTTTTTAGGTATTTACATATTAGGTATTTGGGATCAATAATTGGTCGTATGACTTATAATACTGTAAGACTATAAAATAGAAGTTACGAGTAACTGAAATTATAATATATTAAAGAAAAAAATATAATATATAGGTAGAATTAAAAATTACTCTATCGAATTTTACGGTTAAAGGAAGTGTAAAAGTAATATATTGAACCAGTGAGTTAATGGTGGCTTATCCGCTATTAATAATATTAAAACCATAAACGCGTATTCGTTTATTTAAGAAAAATTCTCATCTCGGTTTTATTTATCTCTTGGTAATGCCTATTGTTAGTATTACCTATATAATGTACTAATGTACTATACTATATTTACGATAGAATAATAAACTTCATGATTGCAGGTTCAGTGATGAAAATATTATGTCATGTAATATTGCGAAAAATTTTAAAGATGGCTCACAGACAATACATCTGCAACTAGTTGACGTTGGTTCACAGACACATATGTGTCCAGCTATATGTCAGCCTATAACAACATCAACAAATTGCAACTCAAAATTTCACTCCATCTCAAACAATTCCGATCCATGCAAATTGGAACAGTGTGACTCAAATATAAATAACCTAAGACCGTGTGACAACTGTAACAGTTGCATTAGCTCATGTGATTCCGATAAAATTATCATTAATCCATGCCAGTCGGATCACAAGAAAACGTCAATTTGTATTAGCCCCTCTGATGACCATTCGTCTTCTGGTGAATCAAAAAACACACCAAAATGTTTTGGTTTTTTGTTTGACAAAGAAAATCTACAATGTCAACTAAATGAAATGAAACTACTGTTAAAAAAAAAAGAAAAGGCAGCAAAGGAAGAACTATGTGACACTGAACAGAAATATTACAATAAGGAAATGATAATAAATAAATGTCTTGAAGACACAAAGGAACAATGCCAAAAGGAATTGGATAAAGCTAACTCTCAATTAGAAATATATGAAACAGCAATACTATACAAAGAATATGAATTGAAAAACTCCCAAATACGAGGTAAACTAATATTTGTTTACATATTGTTTTTATAATAAAACAAATATAAATGTTATCATAGAACACCAATATAAAATGGCAATTGAGCAACTTAATGAAACGATACAGATTAAGGATAAAAAAATTGAAAGTGAACAAAAACAAGTAGTTTCTGCACTTAATAGTATGAAACATTACGAAGATCAATTATTAAGTCTTCAAAAAAAGTTGGAGTTAGAACAACTAAATAAGCATAAGTCTGAGGAAAATCTTCAATTACTCGAGTAAGCACAACGGAACGTTTTTATATATATATTTATACAGTGTCGATACCTATACTTATTTATTTTCTAGTGATAAAATGGATTCTGAGATGGACAATAAATTAGAAACATCTCAAACATGCATAAAGAAAAAACGGTTTTCGACCAGACGAAACAAAAATCCGTGTGCATTGAAAAGGTCAAAGACGGTAACCAAATCAAAAAGAAAAAAATATGGTCCCAAATTGAATTTACCTTGTTGTATTGGATCGAAAAATCCTTGTAACAGACAAAAAAACCTAAACCTGTCACAGAGGAATGTTAATTAAAAGTACGGAGTTTCAAGAATCGTGAGGGCAAAAGAAGAGTTGTCACAAAAATGTACGGAAAGTCAATGATTAACAAAATTAATAAGTTGTTGATTACTATACAATTTTAACCAACGATCAAATTTTATAAACATTGATTTTTATAAACATTTTATTAAAAAAAAAAAAACCTGAGCTGATAAATATCTAATATACAATATACTTACATCACGTTTAACGTCTGTACTCTTTAATTCTGAAGCAGTTTCTTCCGGCGGTTCAACAACTGGTGCCTGTAAAACATCATGTTTGAGTATTAAGATAGATTTGTATACACATTTTATTAAAAAAAATAACCTGAGTTGATAAATATCTAATATACAATATACTTACGTCAATGTTTGTGATACAGTTAAGTATGTTTCTGATTGGGTAGCCCTTATGGTTTGGTTGATAATTTGTCCATTTGTACTCAGATGGATTTTTCGGGTTCCCATATTTGTTTAATACTTCCTCTATTGCTTCAATTGTATCCTTTGATGGATTGATATTCACTTCTAAAATTTTCCAATCCTTTTTTTGTATGTTATAATTGGGATATTTGTGTCTCTCAAATTGACGTTCCCTTATCTTGTAGTTTTGTTCATAGAGTGTATGAAAATTATTCAAGATAATTTATAATAGATCACTTTTAAGTAATATTATTATTTATTATTAGGGAACGGATTTATATGTAATAAAAATACAGAAATATGTACATATATATGGAAGTATAATTTATAAAATATGTGCTTAAAACATCCAAATATGTGGGAAAAAAATTTAATTTAAAAAAAAAAAATTACAATTATTAAATTAAGTAGGATTCCCAGTCTACAAAGGAAAAACAAAGTAAATCCAGCCAAAGTATCTGATTCCAACACCTATCAAAAAACCAAATCTAAAGCTGAAGCCACCAAAAATCATCAAAATTTACACGCGGAACTCAAAATAACCGACACCCTAGTCTCTCAAGTCTTATTTCAAATTTAAACTCACTAATTACTCCCCTCATCTACCTTCTTACATCAGTCCTAAAAGCACTCACAACTAATAGCATTCCATAATCTTATCGACCAGACAATTCACATTAAAATTAAATTAATAATTAAAATTTATATTTATATAATAAATATTAATAGTAAGTTTAAATAAATAAAAAAAAAAATTAAGTAGAAAATATGTGCTAAATATATTTATGAGGGGTTTTTATTATATATCATTATATATCATTATCAATATATATTATTGTATATCATATCGATGGCGTAGCGCACAAGTGTGATAAGTGACATTTTCGTAATTGTTCAGGAAAACGATTTTTAAGTTTGAGATGTTATAACAAATTCAAAAATGTAACGAACTGTACGACATCTATCGGAGTAAATAATGAACTATTCACTTACAACGTTTGGGCATAATGTGCAGAATTGTATGATTAAATTGATTATGCACTTAACTAATTTTTCAAAAAAATGTCACTTATCACACTTGTGCGCTACGCCATCGATATATTGTTTGGTTATTTCAGCAGTATATTATAACACATTTGAAAAAAAACCGACAGCAGGGGAGGATCTGTGTGAACATTACTACTCCTCTGCTGGCATCGTTTATTAATCTTCTTCTTATATCATAAAACGCTAAAAACGCGTATCAGATCCGCGCGGAGCGCTAACGGCACTCCGCGTTTCTTCCATGACGACCAATCATAATACTTCCCGCGCGTTCGCTATTTCGCTCACTTATCTCCCTTTTCCTTATTGACGAATATTTTCGAATATTATTATTATTACCCGAGTTATTCCGTATTTCTATATATTATAAAAATTGTGATATTTCCGTGTGTAATATAATAACATGTAAAACGCAAAATTCAGAAACGGTTCAATTGCTCGAGATTCAAAAATTCAAAAAACTGTTTTTTTCAATTTTTTCTTTGCATTACTACTACATAATACTACGGTTTGATAACAAGTTTTGGTGTACTGTATCATGAAATCAATCTAATTTTTTTTTTGCGTTCTTCTCTTTATCATTCGCTACCGTGTATATTTTATTTTTATTATTAACTATTGGTAGTGCGTTGTTGGTGTTTTCGTCCAGTTTCATCCAAGGATTTTCACTTTTTGGTTGCATTTTTGCTGTGGCTTGGACCGTGAGTACAATTATTGTTGTATCCGTTATCACTTTGGCGATTTCACACTATCAAATTATCACCGTCTTATTTGGATCAGCTGTTTATTTTTTCCTGTCTTGGAGACTTTAACGCAAGGTACTAAACTACATTAACTCTCGCCTACTGGCCGTATATGCAAACGACTTTGCATTACTGTTAAACTGGTAGTATCCAATTGTGTCATGATTAATTCAAAACCAACCACTCGCAGTGGCGCTAAATTACAGGCTGTCGCTTCTCCAAAAGTTGTCTCTTCACCTGCTAGCAGTTCTCCATCCAACGATGATATCATGACTACGTTACTATCCTTTCGAACTGAGTTTTCTGATTCTTTTAAAAAACTGTCATTGACGCAAGACAATCAATTTAAAGAGCTAAAAAATGACATAGTTCAACTGTCCTCTCTTCTTGCTGAACTCAAAGCTGAAAATAACACTCTTAAGGGTGAGGTGGTTTTTCTAAAAGATAAAGTCCTGAGGCTGGAATCCTTGGATTCTCCTGCCTTTTCATCCACTGTTGTATCACAAGTGTTCCAGGAAACGTTTGAACGAGAAAGATGCTCTACTAATTTATTGGTATACAGTGTTCCTGAGTCTTCCGCTGAATCTACCGCTCAACGTATCACTGATGACAAATCAACTTTTGAGAATATTGTAATTCCTCTTATAGGCAATCTTCCTGCTCAATACAAATTGGTTCGTCTGGGTAAAGCTCAGGCTAACAACACTCGTCCCTTGAAAATAATTTTTGAATCTAAAGAATGCGCTTCTAAATTACTAGCTACCTATTATGAGGTAAAGAAAAAGGGTACTAACTTTCCGCCAAACTTCCGAATTGTAAAAGATAAGACTCTACTTCAACGTACCCTACTGCGTAACTGCCACTCTGAACTTGAGCGTAGGTCTCAAGATGGCGAAGTTGGACTGCAGATTGTTCATATAAATGGTCTCCCAAAGGTCGTGTTTAGCAATCCTAGGAATGGAAATTTCAACCAGAGGCCCACATTCAACAACCCTTAACTCATTCATCAGCTAGCAAGTCTGTCTCTGGTTTTTACCAGAACTGCCGTGGTCTCCGGACGAAAATTTTAAATTTTAAATGTAATGTAGCCTGTATAAATTATGATTTTTTTGTATTAACTGAAACTTGGTTGACCGATTCTTTTGCTGATTGTGAACTTGGTCTTACCAATTATAATATTTACAGATATGATAGATGTTCTAATACTAGCAATTGTTTAAGGGGTGGCGGAGTTCTCATTGGGATAAGAAAAGATTTATCTTCCAAATTAATTGCTGTTCATGAAATTAACGTCGAGCACTTATTTGTAATGCTCTCTGTTGGGTCCTATAAGTACATAATTAATGCTGCTTATTTTCCTCCTCTAAGTCCACCTTTTTTATTTGAAAATTTTATGTCCTTATTGGAAACTACATATCAACAACATCCTGAACACACATTCTTACTCTGTGGAGATTACAACTTGCCTGATATTTCCTGGTCTAATGATTCACATGGCCTTACTTATACTTCTTCCTCCCCTCTTCGTGTGCCTTGTGTTCCTGAACTACTTGCCTTCAATGGGTTCTACCAAAAAAATTCTGTTTTAAACTCTAAAGGTTCCATTCTTGATCTAATTTGTTGTAACACCGATTCCGTTATCGTTTGTGAATCTCTTGAACCGTTTGTTCCACCTGATCCTTATCACCCACCTCTTAATATTTCATTACATAATATCTCTACCTCTACTACGTTAAATAACTCGCATTCCTTTCACAACTTCAAAAAGGCGGATTACAATTGTATTATACATTTTGTGTCTTCCTACGATTGGGTCTCTACGCTATCCAACCTTGATTTAAATACTTCGGTTAATACCTTCACTGATTCTCTTCACAGTTCAATTTTGAGGTTCGTCCCTCTGTCCCACTTTTATAAATCAACTTTTCCTTCCTGGGTATCCAAAGATCTCAAAACCTTAGTTTATCGTAAAAATAAAGCTCATGCTAAGTTTAAATCTACATTTGATCCTGCTGATTATAGAGTCTTTTCTCTACTCCGTGCAAAATGTAAATACATGTCTAAAAAATGTCACAAAACGTTTGTTGAGCAGTCAGAAAAATCGTTATCCTTGAATCCCAAGAAATTCTGGGATTTTGTACGTAGGAATCGTTCTCACAATGCTGTTCCAAACATAGTTTCCTTCGATGGTGTCGATAGTTCTTGTATTCAGGAAAGTGTAAATTTATTTTCTAAACATTTTAGTTCTGTCTACTCTTCAAAATCAACTATCCCAAACCTCCAGTCTTTAGATTTACCATTTTTCGACTTACCAAACAACTGTTACTTCACCCCTAATAATGTTCTCCTCAAGCTTAACAGTCTGAAAAATGTGTTTTCTTTAGGACCCGATGGGATACCGGGTGATTTCCTCTACAGAATAAGATATGTTATTTTCTATCCTCTTTGGTCTCTATTTCGAAGATCCCTTGATGAAAGTACATTTCCTGACATGTGGAAAATCGGCTCTATTACTCCCATTTTAAAATCAGGCAACCCATCACTAGTCACAAATTATAGACCAATTTCAATTCTAGGACATATATCTAAAATTTTTGAGTCCTTAGTCCTAGACTCAATCCAGCCTTTTGTTAACATGATTTTAGCCAACGAACAGCACGGTTTTCGCCCAGGCAGATCTACGGTTACTTGTAACCTTAACTTTTCCAATTACATACACGGTTCTTTTAAAGAAGGATTTCAAGTTGATGTTGTGTATACCGACTTTGCTAAGGCGTTCGATTCAGTTAATCATGAGGTTCTTATTTCTATACTTCGTGCTTCTGGTTTTGGCGATCCCATCCTATCTTGGTTTAATTCATTTTTATTAAATAGATCGCAATGGGTTAATATGTTCAATACAAAATCTGACATATTTTTATCTACCTCTGGTGTCCCCCAAGGTGGACATCTATCACCCCTTCTTTTCTCTTTGTTCGTTAACAGTGCTTGTACCTCCCTTAAACACAGCCAACTACTCTGTTTTGCTGATGACATGAAGATTTTCCTTAAGATCTACTCGGTCGATGATTGTCTCAAACTCCAGGATGATCTTAATAGATTCTCTGCCTGGGCAGAAACTCTTGGTCTTACATTAAATGTTAATAAATGCCGGTCAATGATATTCACCAGAAGTCGCTCTCCTATCACTTACTCCTACGTTCTGAATGGCTCTAGTTTAATTCCCGTTGATTCTAGCATTTGTGATCTTGGTTTTACATTTACTTCCTCTCATTCTCCTCGTGCCCACATCGATAAAATTACTTGCAAAGCTCTCAAGGTTTTGGGTTTCATTAAAAGGATATCTGGTGAATTTAAACTCACCAGCTCTCTCAAATCCATCTATTGTGCACTTGTACGCCCAATCGTTGAATATGGCTCTATTGTATGGGATCCTCAAACTGCTGATGCCTGTTTTCAACTCGAACGTGTTCAGCGTAAATTCTTATGCTATATGAAGCATAAATTGAATGTTAACTGCCCCCCTCATGATTATACTCCTCTACTTCGTCTCATGAACTTATCTTCCTTAGCTGACCGTCGCCGCTCTCATGCTCTTGCTTTTCTTAATAAAATCTTATCGGGATCTGTTGACTCCCCTTCACTCCTTGCTCTAATTAACTTTAAAGTTCCAGTTAAGTGCACCCGCAACACACATACTTTTTTTATTCCGCATTGTCCTACAAAATATTTACAAAACGAGCCAATAAACCGTATGATGAAATTAGCCAATGAGGACCCGTCATTTCTTCCATAATATTATACTATTATCTTTTATTTTGTTTTTATATATAACTCATGTAAGCATGTACCGATGTACCACACTTAAAATTAGTATGTAATTTTTGTCAACATTACACCATACATATCTGTATCATGGGCTCACGCCCGTTTATAATTAATAAATAAATAAATAAATAAATAAATAATAATTGTTTTTAAAATCTTCTAAAATGTTATGTTCGCTTTAATAAATTGTAAATGTTATTATTTTGAATTTTATTATTATTATCGTACCTATGCAAATTTGGCCCGTGACGGTGTGTTAAAATGTAAAAATGGTAATTATTTAAAATTATACCCTGATGTGCGTTCTTTAGACGGGTTTGGTTGGAGATGTAGGGCACCTATAAATAAACAAAAAAACCGATGCGACTATTATCGATCGATTCGCGTAGATACATTTTTTCATAAATCGCATTTGTCGTTATACCAAATAGTATCGTTTGCATATTTGTGGTTAGAAAATGTGTCATAGTCATTTATTGTAAAACAAATCAAAATTGCTCAACATACTGCTGTTGACTGGTCATCATTTCATAGAGAAGTCGTCTTCGAGGCTATGATTACAAATCATAATAAGATAGGTAAGTTTAAAATAACATATCTTAGAATTACAAGATAAATCATTTTTTTTACACTATTAAATTAATTAATTCATGTGATAGGTGGAGTCGGTCAAGTTGTCGATATTGAAAAGAGTCCAAATTTGGTCGAAGAAAATATAACCGCGGGAATCGTGTAGATGGACAATGGATTTTTGGTGGTGTTCAGCGAGAAACTGGAGCTTGTTTTTTAATACCCGTAGAAAAGCGAGATAAAGATACCCTTTTAACAGCAATCAATGATTGGATCTTACCAGGGACTACAACTATCAGCGATTTTTGGAAGGTATAAATACCTTAATACATTTAGTTTTTACCCTGTGACCTACATGAGGTGGTTTTGCACAGCAAGTCGGTGGATATTTTCGATTAGCGGAGCGGAGCGACGGCGCCGAGGGGCGTAGCGACGAGTGCCTCTAAGTAGTATATATTTGTCTGTTCTGAGCACCTTTTTTACAGGGAGATTTTATCATTTCAAGGGGGGCATTTCTACATGCTCCACCGTGTAACACATAATCTCAAAAACCTTAATGTATGTTCTGAGCACCTTTTTTACAGGGAGATTTCATCATTTCAAGGGGGGCATTTCTACATGCTCCACCGTGTAACACAAATTGTACACAAGTAAAAGTTATGTGTTGTGTACAACACAAGTACACAACACATAACTGTGTCTATATCATTTTGTTACACAAACAAAATAAATATGTTTTTACCATCAATGTATTACTCATAAGTGTTGGCGACACTGAACTTTTTATAGTCACTCGTACTAAAATTAAGTTAGCTATACATTTCAGTAACGAATAATCCGTTGTTAAACCAAGTTATGCTTTTTATTTTATTGTCTTGTTTCACTTATACATTTATTTTTTTAAGTAAAAATTTCCAATTTAATGTTTTTTCTTTAAAATAAAAAAAACATGAACTTTCAAAAAACCACCAGCAATTATTCTTCATTAGTTTCTTTAATACGAAACCAACCATATCCAACATATCCGCAATATGATACATTCACATCAAGATTAAAAACATATAATATATTTCCGTCAACTATACCTCAAAACAAATATGTATTGTCTGAATGCGGCTTTATATATACAGGGGTTCAAGATATTGTGGAATGCTTCTCTTGCGGACTTGTATTACATGACTGGAAGAAAGATGACATTCCATGGATCGAACACTCGAGACATAATTCCAAATGTATTTATGTATTATTATCGAAAGGTAACCACTTTGTAGAAAACATAATAACCAAATATGGAAGAACTTAATGTAATTGTAAAACTAAATATGTCACTCGCTCAACTGCTTAAACGTATGAACGATATTAAAATAAAATTTTGTATTTTATTAAAACAGTTTAAATGTGTTATTATTCCATTCTATATCTTGTAAATACGTGACCTAATGGATAAGACGTGAAGTTTTTAATTCAATATATAAGGTTCAAATCTAGGTAGCAGATGTTTGTTTCATTTAATTTGCAGGAATAATACGAGATATATAATTAATAATAAGCTCCCTCCCTCCACACTTATCAATTAGGTCACGTATTTACTTTTTTGAAATTGTATTTAACTTTTTTAGTATAAAACGTTGTTGTATGAATAAAATATAATCAGTATACAATTAACACTCTGATAATCATAGTATAATTTTTTAAAACAATAATCGCCAGAACGAACAAAAATATATCGGTAAGTATTATAAGCTCGCTACAATATGATTTCACCGATTGTCTCAAGGTCAGAATTTGAAATTCGTCAATATGGAAAGAAAAGTGTAACAGTAGGTTTGTTAGTTAACAAAAAGATTTCGATTGTTGTAATATTAAAATGTATGATTACTAAAAAGAGTTTAAGCCTCGATCTAGACCAATGGCTATCATTAATGTGTGAAAATAATTATAAAGCAATTATTGATAATCTACAAAACCGATGTAAACGTGTAAGAATAACTGATAACTTAAGCTATTCCGTTAATGTGAAACAGTCTTCAATCATATTATATTCTAATGAAAATTATATAACTTTATCACATGTCGATTTGCAAAGGCTGAATCAGCTTGGAGCTTGTATCGATCTCTATATAATCGAGAAGCAGAAAAAATTACCATGTTACCAGAAGACTTTTGACACAGCATATGCATTAATTATGGCAGATATTAACGGGTTACCCTCTTCTTGTCGACGGAATGAATTTACAAACTCATATATTCAGAATTATAACTTAAGTTATAGTAATATAGAAACTAATGATATTTCTTTTATGTATGAATTATTACAATATCATTATAACTCATTATCAAATATGATATTACAAGAGTTAGAATTAGGTACATCAGCTATTAACCTGTAATTTATTTTTACACATCATGACACTAAATCATATACACTACTTTTGTACCACTTTTAAAAATAAATGTACGATTAGTTAATATATTGGTTTTTTTATTTTAATTTTCAACAGCCATTAAAAACAGATTTATTATGATTTTGATTTTTTAATACATCCTATTTTCTTGTTTGGATTAGACATGAACCGTGTAAATATTGTTTGTATGATGTTGGATAAATCGTTTGCGAGTCCTTGATCCTTTGCTAAATCAGTTATCGATACTTTTACACTGCACTCAGCTTCTTTCCATCTATAACATCATTAAAATGATAAGTATTTTACATTACAAATATATATACATACATACAGGCACATTAATATATTATAAGAACCTTTTAACTATTACATACATCAACCAATGAATTTCTTAAATTATTTTTTTTTAGGGTCATTGTAAGTTGTATTCATGTAAATTCTAAGAATCATATATTTATATAATATATATTACCTGTCTGTAGCAATAAGATTTTGAATATTTTTTATTTTATAGTGATTTATTGTCCAGTAATCACTACATACTTCGTTATCAAATGGTAATTTTATGTTTACTATTTCATCACTTTGTTTCACCATCATCGAATTAATAAGTTCATTATTTACTTTCACATCTTTAATTAAAGGACCAATTCTATCCAGATATGAAATATTCTAAAAAAAAAAAATAATTATAGGTATTAATAATAATAATAAAAATTGTAATTTTATTTAATTTTTTTATTATACTGTAAATTTTTTAATTTTTAATTTTTTTTACATACTTTTTTAACTTTTGTTTTGCACATATTTTTTTTCAATTTCACATCTCTTTTTGTTTTATTTTGTTTTTTTGTGGTATCCGGTTTTACCTCGTTATAATTGTTCTGAAATTATATACAATTTGGTTACTGAAAATCTAGTAAAAATATATACATCGTATTCAATGGGTATAATACTGAACCAGTGTAATACAGTATTATTCAAATATAACTATTAAATATATTATATTATAAAAATATAAATTTAAAATATAAAAATATAAATTAATATTAATTTTGTACTTACATCGCTTTCAGTCATTGATTCTTCGTAATCACTAATGTTCGAATTAGAAAATGACATTTTTTTTAAAATATATCTTTAACAGTAGATAATTTGTAGCTAAAATACGTTGAGTGGATTTAAGTTCTACCTCTAAAAGTGACTTGCTATTTGTATTTTCTAATCAATTTATATTATATTAAGACCAATAGTAATAATAATATAAATAGCAATAGTAGTGGTCAGCTTCTGCAATAACAAGATACGGATATAGTTTTTTTATTATTTTTTTTTTTTTATTAATTCTTGAAATTGAGCATTATAAAACTCTGACCGCAGTCTTTGATAATATTGTCATATGTTATATAAACGTTTCGTCGAAGCTGATATTATATAATGTGTATTATATATATTATTATAAAAACTAATAACCATTAACCTTACATTGATAATATAATTTTTTAGGAAGTAATAATAATTTAAATCACTGTTACGTTAATGAACAGAGCTGTCGCAGTCTTTAATGTTTAATAAAAAAAACAAAAAAAACATTGATAACACTGCAATATAGACGTTTAGTCGAAGCGAATATTATATAATGTGTATTATATAAATTATTATAAAAAACTAATAACCACTTCAACGAAACGTGTATATAACAGTACTCATATTATCAGGGAGTTAACATTTTCATCTTAAAGATTCATCGTAAACATTGTATTGACAGTCTCACAAACTTATAATATATCATATTGTCTCACAACGCTCAACACAAACATACACGGAAAAAAGTTCAATTTTTTTCAAATATTTCAACTTCTCAAATTAACAATGTAAGTATATAATATCATTAGTATAGCTATTATTTTTATAAAAAATTATTATAGGTAGGTATGCGTACGTTGCATATGGAACGAATCAAACGAATACGTGTACAATATTCAATTAAAAT